CATCCACCATCCCACTCTTGCAGTTTCGTAACATTAGAATGGCGCATTCACAAGACCGTAACGGTTTGATGATGGTAAGGGGGAAAAACGTCCATTCAAAGTTTTATTTTCGCACATTCAAACATGCTGTCATTCAATCCATTGACGTTACGAGTTTCATTGAATGAATTCGCCCATTACTCCCGCATAGTTGCATAATCGCTTTGCTATTGCCAATAGCAACATCATAACTGTCAGCATGTGATTTTCACCCCTTTTAATCGACTGTGTACTTTTGATAGTAACTTTCGAAACTTTTCTTTCATGGCTTCAGTATCTGTGAACCTAACGCCACCGCAAGGCGCGCCAAGGACGCTAAAGCAACAATGGGGGGGTCTGAAACTACTTCTGTAGGCTTAAGTTTCGGCCGACTATCTGTTCATAAGAAAAATTCTATTAAAATTCTCGCCTGAATTTGAAGTGTGGCAGTAAAAGGTGCAATTGACACGCGCCGAGACATTCATGTTCTAAATGACATCTGATACAGCCGTAGATATAACAACTGCCAATGAGTGTATAGATATAAGGGTAGCTGACGTAAGGGTGCGTCTATTTTGTACCTACGTTGTGACAAACAACAATGGAGAAGCACTGGGCATAGTGGTGTCACGTTCAGCGGCTCCTTGCTTTGTCTCGCATGGGTTATGGGTTATATCATCCAGTTATGGTGCAGTTATACTTTGACTCCTATCTTCCTGTCATTTTGCCCATCATTTTCGGATTACTCAACTGAACATGAGTTACTTACTGTGGACATTTTAAGGGTCGAACTGACTTGCTAAGCTTTGAAGCTGTCTGAGGGAAAAGGAATAATTGACCTTTGTTCTAATCAATAGCAAGCTTTTCATCCAGGAAAAATGTGGTCCAGGAACGTTGACCTAACAAAGGCTTGTTAATCAGCCTACCATCCGAAGAGCCCATTATAGATCGTTAGCGACAGGTGGTTTTGACGATGTGGAACCATCGCGGCAGATGACCAATCTATCATATTCTCCATTGACGCAGCCGTGTCGTCATGCTACCGGTCGCAGTACCAACGCATTGAATTCCGCTTACTTTGCGCGAGCTGTTTCTTTTTTTCATGGAATTCAACTGGTAGTGATGGAAATTTAAGAGCGATATTTGTATTGATTTTCCCGGTTATATTATCGTACAGTTGAATGGCTGACTACAGTAAACGGCCTCCGCACAGTTTCGAAGACGTCCGAGGGTTCTTTGGTGGTTACCTTCAAGTATGAGGGAACTGTGAAGCCCGCTCATTGCTGTATTTTCCCAGGGAGCGTCCTGTCGTCGGGGAAGATTTTTGCAAAAACCTACCCTCCCTCTAGAGCTCTCCTCTCGAGCGATCCCACCTGCCCTATCCTACCTGCCATCTTGCTAATTTTTAACAGCTTCCTATCTTTCCCTGGAATCTGCCGAAAGTTTTCCATTTCCTTCCCCCCCTCCTCCCTGCATAACAGTACCGCGGAGCGGCAGCGAAACGGGACAAACCATGAAAACTCAAAAACCGAACAACTTTTTCCACAAGGCAGAACACGACCCTCCTCCCTCCTGCAGGGTCGCCTCTTGTGTCACTGGCTGTCTCCTATTGTCCATGGCTTCTAACTCACGGCCTAATCTCAAGTCCATAAGTCACTCTCTCACGTTTTCCTAACTATTCTTCCACCCAATGGACTTGCCCTCGACCTCTTATCTGTCATTCGATGAGCAGAGCTCCAGGTTCATGGTGTCGAGATGCCAGCTGGATACCGGCGATCGCATTTGTTTGCCGATCGTTGCAACGTATCGCGCAATTATGAGGGCGATTTTCTCGTGTCGTTTGCGTAACAACGCTTTGGTCCACAAACAAAATGGCTCTAGCTTCGCCTGTAGATGCCTCTCCAGTGGTACTAATACAATTGTGCCTTTTTATGTAATTCTTCCAGCTCTTGATCACTTTTCGAGCTGACCACTTTTTCCGAAGAGGATGCGCTAAAATCTCATTTTTCAACTACTGTCTTCACCGTTCCAATTCTCTTTTCTCTGCCTCACTCTAATGTCGTTTTTATGGCTGCTTTCTGCCTAATGACCTGCACTCCTGACCAGGTGCACTCGTGAGCGGTGTTTGTTTACGCTCAAGATGGCGTGAAGCCGCCTCGTCTCGTCTTTCATCTACAGCGCCAGTATTCGGCCCATTTCTAGGCTCCGTGCTGGTGTCCATTTATTTCCGATCGCCCGATCCGGAGGGAGAATCCTGCCATGACTCTCGTCTAGGCCAGCTAAACATTCTACCCACATGGGTCAATAAATTGGGGCAAGAACTGTCTGGGAGAGTAAAAACGCTAAGGTGTATCATTGCATGGGCCAAATCGCATGTCACATCCGCTACGATTCTGAATGAAAGCAGAATGCGTGTCGCATTCCAAAAATGGATCGGCCAAGGATTATAGCTGCTACTTCTATTCTGGATATAGTTTTTAGTTGCTGCACACATGGTTTTTATGCAAATCTATGATTCTCGCACTGGAGAATGAACAGAAAATGCCCGTTCGTAACTTATAATAGCCTAAAGCTGTAAGTGCAAAGGCTGTGAGTTACGAGATTGCAAGATTCTATGGGACTGCAGAGCGACTTGTATGACGTTCTTCTCCGTTTTCGACGGACCTTTGCATCTCGAGAGCTCCCTCAATTCTAACTGGTGAGCTCTTGATCGTCAGGCTTTTACTCCTTTGACTCAGTCCTCTAATATAACTGCTTTTATCATGGTATGTTCCGCATCGGTCTCACCCGGTTGCAAGTGCGCTTTTAACCTGGTTTTCCCAAACGCTTCCAGCCACAATCTCTGTGTTTCGTTTTTTGTTTCTGGTATCCATACGTATCTCTTTCAACAACTGAAGCGGGTTGTGCAGATTGACTTATTGATGGCTTGTTTAGGCTGTGATTTCTTATTGAGAACTAAGCAAAAATGAAGAACAGGGGAGACACGCTCAGCAGGATTTCCGCCCATCAGCGCAGCTCGTTCAGACTTTAACCTCGCACTTCACCACCCTGCTTGATACGGGCCGTATTTTGAAGTGTCTACAGTTTATTGCCGAAATACTCGTTAAAAGGTCCTCTTGTGTAGTATTTTTGTATGATTTTTGTGTGAAAGAAAATTCATGTAGGGAAGAAATGTTGATTGTTACTCATTGTTACCTTTGAGGGGGGGGGATGGTTGATTGTTGACATTCTTACTCATAGTTACCGTAATCGTCGTTATCATCGTGAAATCTCAGAACGCCCCATTCGTTTAGAATTTGTTCCTGTCATTTTGTAAATATTTTTATCAAGAACGGTTTTTGTCCAAATCCTGAGACCCGCGTCCGTGGCCAAAGAGCAGGCACGTCCCATCAGAGTGCATTCAGAGCGGTGCTTGAACATTCTCCACTTCCGTTCTCTCTATTCCTCAAGGTGATTCACCCTTTTTCCGCCGTTTGAACCTTGAGTGACAAGGAGTTGGAATTCTGGTGGATTTGTTGTGTTGCCTGCGCGCCACTAAGGACGATTTACAGACAATAGGGGTCAGCAACCAGGCGCTCACGATGATCCTTTGCGTGAAAACACAAGGGGACTTATCTGCCGCTGAGAGAAGAGGTCAACTCCATCACTCTTCGGTCGTTGAGAACAGATTGTTTTTCTGCGTATATGCTTTGCCTGCTATCACGTCAAACTGTTCAAGTTCCGAACGAGGATTCTCTTACTATTTATCATTGTTTATTCGAAGGGTTGCTACCCCCCTCTGTTCGGCCAATCGGACAGTAAATTTTTTGCAAAGCTCCTGCGTCTCTCACATCGAAATTTTTTAGCTGGACTCAAAAGACGTCTCCATTTGTCCCCTGCCGACGCTCAGAGTTAATCCAGAGGGTTTCTCGCGCTGCATGGTAAAGCTTATTGTTCTATGGACATTGGCCCTATCGAGAAGCTTTGTCGGTTTGAATTATTCAGAAAGCTTTTAGTTCTCTCTCCCGTAACGGTTATAATGGTTCGACTACAACAGTAAAAGGGTAGGGCGCAAGAGCAGGCTTGTGGGCGGGCCCGCCCGTGTAAATCCCTTCCTCCTCTCCTAGCGTGATGGGTTCTTATCAGCCTCAGGGGTCCCATGGCTGCCGTCAGCAGCGCGGTGGTCCTAGTCCTCTTAGGAGCGGTCCTTCCTTGTCCGTGCGGCCCTCTCCCTCTCGGGCGTCCTGCTCGTATGAATCGGTTTTGGCAATCGGCTCCCGCGTTCTCCCGGCCGTCGATCAGTTCGGTTTTGCCTATTTGTGCCTGATTCTAAATCTCTGCTCCCGTCCTAAAATCTGCCGTGTATTTTCCCTGTAGGGAAACTGCGCATCCAGTTTTTTCTTTCCTCCTTTTTTCCGAAAGTGGTCCGTGTACTTCTTTTGTGCCTCGACTCCTAAAGGCAGTGTTCCTCCCCGGTGTGCTTTCCCGCGTAGCACAGCTGTCACAGGCGTTTTGCGTGCGCCGCATACGAATTATAGCATAACTCGCATGACATCCGTGAATCTCCGTTGTCAGATCGGCGCTCAAATTTCTTGGATAACAATGTTTCGAGTCCCCCGAATTCTCTTGATTTTCGGACCTAACTTGGAACATCTCGTCTGCGCTTTCCCGGTATTCTATACTGTTATAAGCGAGGCCCGTTCCCGGACGTCGCTTGGGCGTGTGCGAGTTTTCCCTCTATTCCTCTTATCCATCCTGCATGACTGTTTCGGGATGGATTCTACCCGGTAATAAGAAAATGATTGAGGACGACGTACGATAAGTAAGGCAGGTGTCGTTTATTTTTGCGAAAAGGCCAGTGACTCACGTTAACACTTTCCTGGCAGTCATATTCGATCTGTCCAAGTGTCATTTCAACTTCACAGATCCGCTCACATCGTGAGCCCCGCTCTTCGTCGCGCCTTGAGGAAACGAACGTCATCTTACACTTCCATCATACGGTAATGACCAAAGGTATAACTGTAATGTGAATTAACATGCCGCCACGCAATTCCCCGGATGAGGGAAGAGTCATGCTGCAGGAGCTCCTATAAACTCGCTTACCTTTCAAAATGTTCTGGAGACTATTTAACAAGTCTGTTTAAATTGTTGTTAGTGCTTTCAGAAGAAGATAAGTGGCGGTCACAGGCCATCCAAAAGTTATGGGATGAGAGAAAGAAAATGGGTCATACCCCATTGGTGAAATTCCAGGTGCGATAAGTTTCCATTGGAAAACACGATCAATTGATTACTTGATATTTATGTAACACAATTTTCAGCCCAAAGGTCTCCCAAATGTTGATATTTTCTTCAAAAACGAAACGGCCTCGAAAACACTGACGTTGAAGCATCGATTCTCCTGGGCGCTGGTAGCGTGGGCCATTATTGAGGGAAAGGTGAGTGTGGTTACAGGGTCATCATTTTCATTGAGATCCTCCTCGTTATTGACGGGGATACCGGCGCGATTCGGCTTGGTGGGGGCACGTTGCTGATTTCCATCGACCGCTACCGACGCTACCTGTGGGGACCTGTGAAATCCTGTAAAGCTTTGCACTAACAGAAGTTTCGTCTACACTTGACAGGATTCAAGTCTAGGTTTCACTAAAGTATGTCCTGTTGGTGGACATGAACCAGCAAAAAGAACTTTCAGAATGTCCTTCCCAAGCCGAATAAGGCCATGATCTTCTTCTGAGAACTCTCATCTTTTTTAAGTTAGTCTCACTGTTAATTTCTCTTGAGGTACACAAAAACTCTACCGTATACGACTCAACATCTGGAAACACAGGAGCCAGCGAGGCGTATATGTGCACACTGGTTGGGCTACCGTACATCGCTGTTGTAGGTTTTTTTTTATTTTTTCAATTACTTGACGTTTACACATCTATTTATTTACTGTTTATTTTTGTTTCAATTTACTTATCTCCCGTTATTTACTTACTTATGAAGTTCTTTATACTGTCTTGTTCGCTGCGGATGCTCGGGCGTGCCGAAGGCTGGGTATGGCGCGGTGCCAGCCCGTTTTGCACCAATTAAGGTCGCTTGCCGGCTTCCACCGCTCGACTCCAAATTGAGCTCTCTGACGCGCCCAAGCATCCACAGCGAACAAGACTGTGTAGTCATTTGTTCTTTCATCGCCCATCTATAATATTACTTATTCGCTCTAGTTCTGTCGAAGGCATATGGCAAGATAATTAGGTACTTGGTCTAAAATACTAGCAAGATGCTATATAGGGGGAGGGGGAATGGCGAAAAACGGAGTGAAAAGCTTGCGTCTTCTTCTTAATGGCTCAAAAAGCAATTTCGGACGAGTTTCCGTAGGCATCTTGCCAATAACCGCTACGGTAGATACGGCTGCACGTATGTACTCATATATCCATGCAGCACCGCAGCCGCTTCATATCAATCCCTTCGCTTCACATACTTCGCAAATGAAGCAATACGAGCATCAGGTACGGTCGTCCATTTGTGGGCGGGCGGGCACGGTGGGCGTCCAGGTCGGTATGTTGCAGCTTGATGAGGTCTTATAAAGTGCCTTCCTTGGTGAAGGCGCTACGCAGCGCCTGCTCAGGGGCGCGGAATTCCGTCCTGCCAGTGTGTTAATCCTACTCGTCTTAGGGACTTATCGTGCCAACTGCCTTTAATCGATGCCAACGACTCGGAGGGGTGAGGTGCATTTAAAAGACCTTTGTGCAGAAATGGAAGTACCGCCAGTATCCGAATAGAATAGAGGTAGTGGTTCACTCGTTTAGGGCAAACGTCTTCACCTTCATTACAGTAGTTCTAGTTTTGCACAACGAGTGCTTCAAATGTTTCTCAAAGCTTTGGCCCGTCTGTTTTTGTAGGCAGTCGAGCGCCTAATTTCACTTGTCGCTACACTTTCCTACGCCTTACATTGACTCGTAGTGAAGAGAACGCTCATCACATCCCGGACATAGGGAGGGCGTGGCTAGGCACTTCAGCTGAACATGGCACATAATGCGTGTTTGGTTGAACCTAAGCCGATTCGAGCAGAAGTAGGAGGAGCCTTCCCGTGATAGGCGATATATCAAGACTATAGATAGAAGCTATTGGTTCGTTATTCGCTTATACATCCATTTATTTGTTTATTTATTGACTCACTGATTTATTTGTTTATTAGAAGACATAAGCATGTTGGCACCTGAGACGATATCAGCCGAAATCCATAGGAAATATTTTTCCTACGTATAAATGAATCTTTCTGGAGCCTAAATGTGATCTACTGACAGGTTGGCAAGGAACTCGAACAGGAGAAAATCCATCAGATCACCAGCAATGGGGGTAAAATAATGAAGGTTGGATTAATTAATCCAGGCTATACCTCCTCGAGATTCCAGCTAACTTGTAATTTTAACAGGTGGACGTTTCGTTGAGGAATTTCCATGCTGAAGATCAGGCTAAAAAGAACAAAGGATTCTTCCTCAATCAGTTTGGTAATGCGCAAGAAGCTGAAGAATTTCACGAAAGTGAGAGTTTTTACAGCTAGGGTGTCAAAAGGTCTGGCGAAAGCCAATATTCAAAGTAAACAAAGGTTTAATGTACTTTAGGTGGTGGTAATCCTCATGAAAGTACAAATATGTTCCATGAGGTTTTGCTGCAATTGAAAGAGGACAAAAAACAGAAGAAGAAAGTTCCCGACTACTTTGTGCACAGCTCTGGCACAGGTAATCTGCCGGAAAGCAAAGGCATTTTTGCTATTTTTGCTCGAAGGGCATCATAATGCCCTTTTGAGCAAAAAACTCGTCCCTAAGGGGACTCCATGCCGGTTTTTTTCGTGATTTCTTAGTGATTTTTTCGCGATTTTTTCACAGGATAAGCATTTTTCCCACCACAATACTGAAAGTTAAAATGGCGCAGGGCGTTGCAAAGTCATTTGTTTGGGATGCCGCCGTGCCTCGAAATTTCATTCGGAATCATCATCATCATATTTCGCAATGCGTACAGAATCTGAGAATGTGTTGTGGGGCCAGCTGGCTCACGAGTAGCTCTTCATATCCTCCTCAATTCCGCACCTGATTTCTACAAAATCGACGGTCTCCCATAACTTCCACCAAAGACCGCGCGTAAACCGTCGGTGCAGTTCTATTAGTAGTCTCGTGGTCCAGTCCAAACGTGTTCCAGGGAATTCAGAATTAATTCAATCCATAATTTTGTCCGCAATTTTCAAGTAAACGTTGCCAAAGCGATATCATGAAAATGATCAAAAATGATTGCAGAGTCATGCACTTGTCGAGTGTATTGGTAACTATCACCTCAAAACACTTGGGTTGAAATTATTAAAAGCACGATAAATGACAAGGCGTGTATTCAATACGCCTAGCACAAGAGAATATTGTGCCCCTTAGTTGGCGCTGCTTAGCGCCTTTCCCACCCGAGGTGTAACGCCGAAACGAAATATGTACGTAACTGCTCCATATTTTCGAATAAGAGCTAGACGCGCGGCACCATAGTGTCGTGTCGTAGTGTCAAGACATCCATTTCACTCCCTTCTTTCTATAGAGGCTCTCTATGAATGAATATATTCGTCAGGAGGAACGATCACATCAGTTGGGCGATATGTGAGAAGATACAATTTGCCAACGATCATTGTGCTCTCTGATTCTGAATATTCACTTTTCTATGACTACGTCATTTCCAACAGGTGGGTTCGTCACTACTGGAGAAGCTCTTTTGCCTCGATTTTTAACAGTAGTCGTAGCTAGTGGCTTTTGAAATCAAGTGGCAGGGTACAGCCTCGCTAGGATAGTCCAAGGAGTCGTAGTTGGTCGCTGGGAAGAAGGCAAGCGTGTTTGGTCGATGGGGGCCATAACTAGCTTTGAGAAATCTTTTTCCGAGTCGCGAAAAGATCTTCCCCGTTGCTGACTTCTGACGATTTTTCCCGTTCCATGTGAGCTGTATCCCCAAACCTTCCTTAGTTGGGAAAGGTGCCTCGTGAGGATAACTCGAAAGCTGCATTTGAGGTAGTTGTTGATGAGACCGCGTGCATTGCCCTTCGGCCGCTCAGCGGTGAATTTTAGAAATTGCGAGCAGTACTAGGGAGCCGAGAAGCATCTTGGCAGATGGTAGTTGGATGGTGTGTCGTTCCAGAGACGAAATTCGGGATCGGTGGGCTATGACCGCCCTGTCACAAATGCGAGCTGCATCTAGCCCCTGCCCTTAAGATGGTCGGTTGGTTGACCGCCGGCTGTAGCTGCGGTTAATTCTACGAAAGTTTAGGATTCAAGTCGGTCCGTTCCACACTGGCTTTCGTGCGGGAAACGTTCCAGATCATAACCTGCCATCGCTTTCCGAAGCTCATTCGGGAGTAAAGATCGCGCGCGTAGTAGGCCCGACTCCGGGCCACTATTGGCATTGGCGTCGTCCTTACTAGGGAGGACGCAATGAAATGTTCGGCACAAAAATCATAATGTTAAATTTTTCCAGATTCACCAACGAATCCGGCACGAAGTATTGGAAACCACCTGGAGTTTCTGGAATTGGTTACGGTTATAACGTGAAACCAATTATCTACAGAGAAATAGCAACAAGGTAATGACTTGTTGCTGTTGTATAGTATAGATTTCTTTCGTATCTTTTGTCGAAACTTTTCAGACACAGAGGGGGGGGGGGAGCGGTTCGCTTGAAGTTACGGGTCTGCGACCAGGTATAGAAATTGAAAAGTGCGGGAGCTTGGAGGGTAGTGTGGTCCTGGCGAAGAACTTCAGGCCTCCCTGGCATAGGTTCCGGCCGAAAATTGTGAGGGGGGCGGGCTATAGAGCAGGCATAGAGGCTCAGTGACGCCTGCCTTTTTTCACGTGACTCGCGCTTTCGTAGACTCCACGCCTCAGTGCCCCTCTTTAGTGAAAAAACGAAGCTGAAACACGAAAATACATGAAAATAGTCACTTGTAACGGTCGTAGGTTCTCCAATGGGGAGATCAGCTGTGGGGGGCGGAGGAGGGCGTAATGTTGCAGACCGGAGTCAATTGGGCACGGGAGGACTACAACCTGGATCGAAACGGGGTTCTGTATCTAGCAGGCACAATAATCATGTTTTTTCTTTCTTTTCTTCACTGTCGAATGGTATGTCCCACCGCTTGGTGGGTCTATAAGAAATCCCCAATTCACTATCTGTGATGGCGAATGATCGCAGGGTTTACCATTAAGCATCTGCACCAAACCTAGTCTCTAAGATTGGGCACAGTTCACGCTGATCGTATTGGTGAAATCAGGCCTACCATTGTGCCCTCCTTATCGGCACACCTTTGCCACCTGTAACAGTGAACAGGAGGGGTGGGGAGGACGCGACGCGTGGATCTGACTCCGTCCTCCAGCGTCAGTGTGGACTATTAACTCGAAACTTGAAGGTTCAGGCCAGAACTTTACTTAGTCATTTAGAAATTTCATTGCAGCTTGAATCCAAATGTTATCGATGAAGCAATGAAAATGCCCGATATCGCTTCCGCAGCAGCGATGCATGTCCTCAGAGAACGAGGTGTCGGCGGTGGAGCATCAACTGGACTCAATTTCCTCGTTTCGCTTCACAAAGCCATTCAATCGAAGTAAGTGTCTGAAGGCTTAAAACTCAGCGTCATTTGTCACCTTGGAAGCCTGTATCCGCTACATGCCTCCTGGCGCTGTTCGGCTTAGGAGGGGCATTTTGCACTTCCGCAAGTTTATTTTGCTGGTTCATATCAATTCACGGTTATACAGTTGAGACCTGTGAAACTCCTGTGAAGCTGGGAAAGGGTATAAGTAAGCCACCGTGGTGACAGGGAACTTATCTTCACAAGGTGACGTGAGCAAGCTTCCCTTCACAACTTTGATGCCCCCACCAAGCCGAACTTTGCCGGTTCCCCATATACATGATCTAGTCAATTCCATATCAATTTCGACGTCTTTTCCATATGTGCAATGGCACAGTGCGCGCAGATCTAATGGGCAGAGTAAAGCTTGCCACCATGCCTCCTTCTTTGGCGTGCAGTTTCTCTCTGCCAAATACGCGCGTCAACGACGCAGGCCCAACTGTTGGTCCTACTTCGATAAATGTTTCACTGCCCTTGAGCAGCTCCTTCTTCTGATTAATATTTTCAGGAAAAGCAAAGACGCCAAAGATCGTCTCACAATCGTGACTGTCATCTTGTGATCCTGGAGAGTTCTACGATAGCACCTATTTCAATTCAACATGGGTGGATAAGCTTTTCGCTGACAATGGAGGCATGAAAGGGCTCAATTGCTGGAAAAAGGTACGTCTTAACGCTCGGAGCGGTGGCACAACGTGACGTAACTGGCTAGTCAATGGCAGTTGGGTTCATAACTGCGTTTGAACAAGTTGTAACAGGTTAAGGAACGTTGCTGCCACTCGTCCCCTCCGCGTGGTAGGCGGTTCTCCGCATTTGTGGTATGATCACCCCATATATATAATTCTCCTTTGTTTGTTGGTTTGTTTGTTTGTAAGTTTTGTAAGTATTTTTACCATTAAGTTTGTTGTAAGTGTCTGTCCGGAAATTCGGTTCGACCTGAAGAACGACTTGGAGAGGTCCAGTCAAGGTGGGGATAGGTAGGGCATGGGACAAGAAATAAAAAGCACACTTGACCTATGGGAAGCCCGCCCACAGTGGGCGGGGCACTCGCCGAAAGTTTGGGGTTCCGCAGAAAAATGTTCATAATTCGCTTCTGGAGCAGCTTAAAGATGGAAAAAAAGGGACTAAGGTTAGTAAGGAGTCGCCAGACTAACGTGGCAGGGACACTCTAAATAACGCGGAGGCGTAGCCTCAAGTGTGGCTTCTCGCCAAAAAAATTCAGTTAAACGCCGGTTCGCGAGAGTGTTTGCGAAGCTCGCAAAGAAATCAAATAGAATGTAAATATCTGGCGAAATAGTGCACGCTCAAAGTGTGTTGACCACGCCCACAGTGGGCCGGAGCTTGCCCTAAATCGCAGGGTATTCATTTTAAAAGTTTGTAGCCCGGTTCCAGAACACTCCAGATACCGGAAAAAAGTGATTAAGTTCAGCAGAGGGTCGTCGGTTAAGATTGTGGGGCAAAAAAATTGTGGGCGGAGCCTGCTCCGAGGTGGGCGGAGCCAGACAAAAAGGGTCTGTAAAACGGTTCCAGAGCACTCCGAAGACCGGAATAAAGATTCAGGTCAGCAAGGGGTCGCCGATTGAGAAATATGTGCTAGACATATTGTGGGCGGGGCCAGCCCAAATTCTTCTGAAAAAAACTGTCCAGAAGCACTTCAGAGACCCGGGAAAAAAAACGTGGATAAGCGGAGTTAGAGGATCGCCGGTGAGGACTGTGGGGCAATAAACATTGTGGGGTCGGAGCCAGAAAAAAGGTCTGTTAAACGGTTCCAGAGCACTCCGGAGCGGAAAAAGTGGATTACGATCAGCAGAGGGTCGCCGGTGAGGATTGTGGGGCACAAACATTGTGGGCGGGGCCTGCTCCGAGGTGGGCGGAGTCAGACGAAGAATCTGTAAAATAGCTCAAGAGTACTTCAGACACCGGAAAAAAGTGGAGTACAGAACAAAAGGCGGGATAATCAGTTGAATCTAGAAATATGTGAAAGAAAGCACGCGCGGCGAAGCCGCGCCCGCCCGGCGCAGCCGGGCCGTATCAGAAGGAGCCACGCCGGCGTCAGCCGGCGAGGCGACTGCTTATCATGCGGTAAAATTCAGAGGTGAGGAATGGATCAATATAGTATTACTAGGCGTTGTTGGGCTAGGAGGGGATTTGCAGTTTCTTTAGTTTGTTCACGTCAAATACAGCGTCTCCACTGTTTGCCAATCGCAAAACTTTCGTGTCAAACGCTAAACTGTTTCAACCGAATAGTACCTCCTGCAAGATTGCGAGTTAAGCCTGGCTGCCCAGCTAAAGCAAAAACTGCGCCGTATTGCTGTAATCTAGAGAATTACCCAAAACTATGAGCGCCAAACAATTAGAGCCAAAAGAGGATGCAGTTAGGCAGGGTGTACGTCGGGAGTCGGTGAAGATGGTGTTGTAATACGACCAAACCGCCCCCCCCCTCCCGGCCAATTTGTCCCCAGTGTTCCACTTTCCACCTCAGATGCAGTCCTCTTTCCCGTTCAACCAGCCTATAGCGGTTCTTTCAACTCCCTAAAAATTTTCTGAAAATTTTTAGTTTTTCGTGAATAGCCGGCCCTCAAGCGCGGGAAGTTCCAGCAAGGCAATCAGAACAGTTACCTTAAATATCTACTAGTTTTGAAGCCCACCATTCAATGGGTACACGAGAAAACCAGAAAGCCGGAAAACTTCTTTCCCACTTGGGAAATTTTTTCACAAGGTCAGATGCGACCCCTTTCCTACCAAGTAGGAACGACCTCTTCCCCTGCTCCCCAAGGGGTCCCAATGGTGTTGTACGATGCTCGTCAGGCCTTCAAAAATCCTGTTAAGCTGCGCCAAAGACCTTCTCCCAGAATAATGGAGCCATTAAATGCAAATCTGCCCCATTCGTCTTCGTTACTCTGCGTTCTTTGCCGTCCGGGGGAACCTTCTAAAACTAAGTAGCACTCAGGTTTTCTCCTCTAGTACGACTCCTCCCCTTCCCAACCCCCATCCTACCTACGTTCCTAACTTCCTCAAGCTTTCCTAGCTGCGTACCACTTTTATAGAGAGAAAAAAATTTAAAAAAAAACACTGGCAAGTAAAAGAAAAAACTGATGCAAGAAAAACGGTAAGAAGTAAGGAAAAAGCTCAAATTACTTTTTCCTCAAGAAGCCACCGCTCAAGGAGAGGATGCGGTGGAGGGGTAGTATGGCGCACTTGAAAACGGGAACAACCGAGCTATGTCAGCGACCCAAATCTCCCTGAGGCAAATATGACCTCCCCCTTTTTTAGAGGGAACCGAACACAAGCCCTTCTCTGAGGATTTCCAGCGTTCGACGGGCACTTTTTCTCATACATCTTCTTTAACTGACCCTCTTGGGTCTTTAAGAGGCTACAGTTCATAGCACCGCAACTAGTTGGGTCGCAATCAGTCGGTATCCGCCTGCAGCGTTCCCACCATTGGCTGTTTTCTTCCTAACTCGATCACTACTCGATCACCATTGGTAGAACAGGCAGCCGGGCGGGCTCAGCCGCGCTGTTTTGGCCGCGCCCCCGCTGTTATAAGCTCGGTCTAGACCTGAGGAAGGATTTGATCATGGACTATTTATAAGATAGCCACGTCTCTTGTCCCGCGTAAAACTGGATGAAGAACACCGTTAGGGAAAAGATGTGATGAAAATGAATACAAAGTATTTTGCAGATAATCGATAAATCAGTCGATACCGGCACTGATTTCCTGGAGGAAGGTTTGGAAAGCTGTCCAGGATCACGTACGCGTGCGAAACGATGGGTATTAAGAGCGCTTCGCTAATTTCTAACAAAACAGTATCACATAAAAATACGAATTATATGTATTATGTGTGAGGTATGCTTTTCCGAGTTATGATTGACATATCATTTACGTGTTAGTTTTGCTAGTGATTTATTCACACCGTTCAATTGTATATGGAATGTCCCTTTAATTATTAGAGCTGTCACTTAGAAAGAATAAATATTTATTGCACCTCAAATTAGAGCCTGGGAATTCGTAATCAACGTGAGCAGCTTCTTCGGTTAGGCTGCGTTTATACTTCGCGGCAACGACCATCAACGTCCAGCAGCGTCTCGAGGGCTAGAGAAGTATGGGCATCGATCTAATGACTTGCAGCATCCACCAGCGCCTACCAGCGATCAGCAGCGCTCAAGAATGCAGAGTATGGGGAAGTGGAGACAAAAACCCTCCTACTTCCCCATACTCTCCACCAACAGTCTGCAACCCTCCTATCTCAACATACTCTCCACTCCCGGGCACTGCTGTTCGCAGGTGGACGCGGCTGTTCCTAGCGGCCAAGGTTCTAGAAACGATAAGGCTGGGCACATTGTTGTTGGGGATGTCCTAACAGAGGAGGGGTCGTATTTGGTGGCTGTGAGAGGGGG